GCTCTGATGCCCGTATTCGATGAACGCATGAAGAAAGCAAACAGTGACGAACGTACAAAGGTAAATTTTTCAAATAGAATTCGTGATTTACATTGTATTATTGTGAAAGAAAAAAAATATAAGAGAAAGATAATAAATTAAAAAACAAAAAATAATAAGTGTATAAGATTAAAAAATAATTAATTCCCAAAAGCTCCTGAAAATCAGAGGTCCGGGATTAATGGAGGATATCACTGACGAAATTCATGAATGGTTCGTCGTTTGGTACAACGCATTAGGACATTACGATGTGTTTCCAGCTGCGAATTTGGGTGGCAGTGTACTGATCGTGACCGGGCAGACCTTGACGCCAGAGGAATATTTAATGGAAAAATTAGAAAAAGAGAAAAAAGCCAAGGAAAAAGAGAAAAAAGCCAAGGAAATAGAGAAATCTCTAGTTGAACCTATCAAGGGCGAAGCTGGTTGGAAAATGCCGCAAACAGATACTTTGTCCTGCTTAGAGGAAGCAAACAGCGATTTCATTCGAAATTGGAGCTTTCGCGACGAAAAATATTTAGAACAAGAATATTTGGATGTAATCACTGAGAAACTTTGTTACGAGTTGCAGTTAGAAATGAGAGAGATAGTAGATGAATTGATGAGGGCCGAATTGAAATTACTAAACAAGGCATTGTTGAAGGATCATGCAGATGACGAGCCGAAATTCAAGATTCCAACAATGAATAAAAGTAATCGATACAACTTAATAATTAAAACTTTTGCACTTATTATCTAAATAAAAATGTGAATTTTGATTAATTATTATGACAGGAACGATCGACAGAAAGAAAACGAAGAAAGACATCCTTTTAAAGGATGTGGTCATTAAGAATCTCTTTAGCGAGCTTCTACAAGCTAAAATCATTAGGGACTACCAAACCATTCTTTTACGCGATTGGTTTGGTGATCTATCCTATCAAAATTACGAGGCACGTCGCGAGCTCCGGGATCACAAGCATCGACTCGGAGAAGTAAAGCAGCTCGTCTTAGAGTACTGCATATTGCCTTTAATTTCCAAGGAGACACATCAACTTGCACCGCTCATACGTTCTGTGTGCATCTATGGATTACCAGCAACCGGAAAAACCTCGCTTGTGAATGCTATCTGCTCAGAGGTGATCTTTGTCTCGATTATGTACCTTCCCATGTGAACCATTATGTCAAAAGATATTCAAAATATGTTATATATACATATATATAGTACGACATACGATAATTTTTCAATTCTTTGTAATACAATATTATGATGATAATACCATAATTAAAATAGACTGTATTAATATTCCTCCCGTCTATGTATTTATGATCTCTTTGAACTTTCTTAGATCGGCGCGTTACTTTTCGACGTATCAGCACCTGTTTTAGCTAATCAATATGTAGGCGAGGAACAGAAACTCATCGATATAATTTCTAAAGTGGCCCGTTTTTACGCACCTTCCATCATATTTCTCGATGCTGGCGAAAAACCCTGGCTGAAAAAAGTTCCACCAGACGAAAGGGATCTTCAACCCAAGCGATTCACCAAACATTTTATGAAACTAAAGAAAAACATTAAGCCAGGCGATCAGGTAAAGCTACAAAGAAATTGGCAAATAATTTTTCTTTTACTCTCTTAGTAATTCTTTTTATTCTGTTGTGTGATTTACTTTTTATTAATTATCTGCAACTGCTCTGTCAATGTATTCTCAGCTTGCGCTTTGCGCTATAATGTTTAAAGATCTTTAGACATTAGAAAAAAAA